AGAACTGCAGTTTTTCCACAGTATTTTGCTAGCCTTGTGGAATTTTGCACCTAATGCTTCATCAAACCCCTGTTTAAAGTTTGATCCAAACATTGTATCCTTTAATCCAATCCACTACCATTTTTCTTTACTAAAGTTGAAAAAAAAAAACCACAACTTATTCTTTAGCAGAGTTAGCATCTCTGGAAAACTACTCCTAGTACCTCTCAAGATATAATAGAATTTTTGTTACAATGCAAAAAAAAGAAAAACAGTAAGACTTTGATCATTGTGGTCAGAAACAACGTGAGGATTTCTGCCCTCTAAATGGACCAGAGATACCAAAGGAGGCTCCCCAGCACAGTAGAAGAAGAAGCCCCACATCTCTCTACTCTGCATGATTTCTCATCTACAGTTGGCACTGCAGTGTCCCACCATCCACCTGTTCCACAGCCGGTAATGGGTTCAAATCTTTGCCTGGCCAAGGGACACTGACATACCCGAGTTTCCTGCTGAACAGGTTGACTTTTCAACCAATGTTTCATGACCTTCTGCACTCCACATACATATTCATTGCGACACGCATGATTAGCGATCCCATTAATGGACATGCAAAGCTCCTCCAAAAAGTCTGCAGGTTCTCTCTACAAGCCCAATTTCCTCTCCAAAGCTCACAGGGCTCTTTTTCTGAATGTGCAAGCACCCATAGGTCTCCTTTTAATTCTTAGCACAAACTGACCAGTAAAGTGACTAAATAGTTTAGCAATACCAGTGCACACCAAGAGGAAAATACTTATTATTTCCTGTCATTGAGCTACATTTTGGGGCATAACACACTATATGTCTTCAAAACTTCTCTCAGCACCTGAGAGCATCCCCAGTGTGCTCATTATCCCATAATCTGGATGCTCGATGGGAATTTACTATGCATGTTAATAACAGATTAGTCTGTCTAGACCAACACGCAGAGATCCATGCAGTGGCTGAGATGGTCATTGCTTAAAACAAACAGCCTCAGGACCACAAACATGATGGTCATCAGCGTATTTATAGAAAGTACCTCAGTTTTCTTGGCCTTCACAGCTTCCCCTCACACATGAGAAAACACGGATCAGGGAGTACCTTGCAGAGAGCTTAGATTAAACTTACTGCAGGTGGGCTCCTTGCTGTGGGTGTTAATGAGGAGCAGACGAGCAGGGATAGGAAACCCGGGGAGGGATGTGTGACTGATGATGGGCAAGAGCAATTGCCAAGGACAGCCCGAACCTCTTTGGCTGTTGCATTAAATTGGCTTGTTTGGGAACTGCCAAATAAGAGCTAATTAGATCAAATTGCTTCATCCAGGATGGTAAGTAAGTGGGCAAGGGCTAATTTATTAGTGCTCAGCCCTGAGTGAGGGAGGTCCAGCCCACTGAGAGGAAAATACCTATTGTGGTAGATCAGAGCAGACTTAGCAAGGCAGGACACTTACGTGATGAAAAGCAGAGATGAAATTATTCATTTAAAGCTCTTGTTAAGCTGTGAGAGATAAAATAAGTTCCCACTAAAAAGGAATTAATAATTGCAGGATGAGATGGTAAAAATTTTATTTTAAGACAAGCCCGGACTTCAGGGGGATTCCTCCTCTTTTCCTTCCCGTGAGAAACCCAGTCACACCCCTTCCCTCAAACAGCAAGATTGTGCTGTTTGCTATAAATCATCTCAGCAGGCAGCTGGGCAGAAGGGATTCAAGGCAGAAAGGTGACAATTACAGACCAAAAGGAAGGGGTTTGTTGCTATTTTGTGGGGCTTTTTAACCTGGCAAACTATGTTTAGTTTATCAAATTGAGCTACATCAGAATGAGAAATGGCAATAAAACAATGTAATTGGTTTCCCAGCATGGTGTGCATTCCCCTCAATGTGGACTTGCTCTAGGGGAGGGTCTGGGCTGAAGAGTTGAGTAGGCTGTCATCTTTGAGACCCCCCCTCAGCTGGAAGACTAAACACTTTAGTGTAAACCTGACAGCACAACTTGGGTCTTTCTGCACCTAAGGCTGGCTGGAAATCTTCTTGTTCCTCAGACAGTGCTTATTTCCCTTGTAGCAAAACATGATGTTGTCGTTTGTGCTTAATCCCCCGAAAAGCAGGCTGCTGCGGTCACACCAGAGGAGCATCGCTCAGCCTGGCTCCCACCTCCCAACACGCTTTGACAGATGTGACAATGACCACTGGAGCTGTAACACCTTCAAGTCCTCCCCAGTTCTGTAACGTGACATCATAAAAATGACCCCATGGGGTTCCCGTCTGTCTTTCTTTAATGACTCTTTGCAAAACAGCCTCAATTTACATGCTGTTTTGTTTCTTTTTCACTCCTTGCATTCCCAGCTTGTGTACTGGAACATGCTGGGCACTTTCTTTCACGCAAGCCCTTATAGGAAGAAGAGATTTGCAGGCCAAACTCTGTGGAATTTTCTGTGTCAATTTTTCTGCCCAGATATTCGTGCAAGGGGAAGCAATTAACTTGCAGTCGTTAGATCTGTACACAGCACATGCAAGGGACTAATGGCCTGGGCTTGCTCCTGCCTGGATTAGCTCTGGCCAGTTAACAAGAGCACAATGCACTGTGCGTGTCTTCATCTCCACTGACACCACCTGCAAAAGCATGAAATGCACAGAAGTCCAGATGCATTCAGTGAGACAGTGGCTTAGGGAAAAGGCTTTTTTGTTCTTTGTTTGGGTTTTGGGGGTTTTTTTGGTTGGTTTGGTTGCTTTTTGGATTTTTCCCCCCGTCAGGAATTACAATAGTCATGGTTTTTCTGCTTTTGGTTGAACAGGACAGTCAAGTGTCCACCTCAAGAAATATTCAGACTTCTGCTAAAAAGTAGGACTACATTGCTTATCTTAGGCTTTTTTGGGGTTTTTTTCACACTTTTTTTCTTTTTTACATTCTTTTACACCAGTGATTCTGGTGGTTCTAAATAAGAGAGAAGGACTGCAGTTCTGGACCCCCACCAACTAAGGTATTTGGCACACCATGGCTCTGTTTAATAAAGTGGATATCATAAACAAGTTCTCCATGTGCATGAGCAAGATTCCCAGTCCCAACTTGCTTTGGAACATGATACAACCTTATTTTACTACTTTATTCCTCCTAGTCATATAACAATATTTAGAAGGAAATAGTGGCACAGGTCTATTTATCTACCTGCTTCAAGTCAAAACTTCAGTGTCCATCCATCCTGTTTAAATTTGGGTCAGTAATGACATTTTCCTTAAAGGAAGAAGGAGGCTCTGCCCAAGAAATATGGCACCGTCAAGAGAGGACCATCAAAAAAAAACATCAGCACCTCGTGATGGAAGAGAAGGAAAGGATGACCCAAAGACTGTTTCCTACAGCGGGAAAGGTCTCCAGTGTCCTCCATGGAAATGATCCAAAGCTTTGCCAGGAAGCAGCTTGACACCTGCCAGCCCAAGCAATGTGCTGTGAAATTTGCGTGGGATCCTCCTTCGTGCACTGTTCATTTTTAGTATGTTAGTCCTAAATTTAATGTTGTTGTTTTTTTTTTTTATGCAACTTTTATCTTTTTTCTACCATGTAACAATTTGTTTCAAAAATAGTTGGTGTTATGCAAAACAGCAGACTGTACTGAGAAAATCATGTTTCAGCAAGAAAACGTGCAACCCTTAGCATCCTGCATACAGATTTTGGAGCAGAAAAAAGTATTTCACAACCTGTCACACATCAACCCTCTTGCTTTTTTTTGTTTTTTCATTGTCTTTCTCAATCACCTCTAGGAACAATTCCTTGGGTTAGCGGGCTGGATAAAGCAGCTTCCTGGGGGACTTTTTAAAAACAAATTAGCCTTCTCTATAACCCAGGCAATAGGTCAGGACGTCGGAGCAAACAGCTGTAGGTAGGTAAGGGCATGCCCTGGAAATGGAAACCAAGTGAAGGAGCAGAATGAGAATGGACATAAACTAGAAAATGCAAATAACCCTTTTTCCAAGAAAAAACAAGAGTGATACAGAGCAGCTAAAGCAGGTCAGGTGAAGAGACATACACTCATGGGGGAAGAGAGAGAATTTGGAAATAGTGGGTGGTTTTGGAGAAATGTGTCTTTGACTTACACAATTAATACACAACAAGCAGCAAGAGCCAGTATGGACTGTGTGGCATGAACAGCATATAAAGAGCAGCACAAAAACAGGGGAGATGTTTTTGCTTAGTTCAGAGAAGGCTTTTTTCTTAATTTTTTCTCAAAAAGTCAAGGGAAGGCTCAGCCACGAGGGATCTCTATATCCACTACAGAGAAGTATCAACCGTGCTTGCAGGAATTTTTTGTCACTCCCATTTGATGGGAAAGGAACCATAGGTCAGGAGTTTGCACCCCCTGTGAGTGCCCTGTGACTGGCCTGTGTTGCAATTTCCCAAGTTGATGAAAAAACAACGAGGCAGCAGGGGAAACTGAGGCCTCACATAGAAGGTAGTCAGCATGAAGACACTGCAGAAAGACAAAAGAATTTACAGGAAAAGACAACCCCAACCATATCTGTGCTTCTCAATGTCAAAAAGCTTCACCTCCTCCCTCCTCTCTGCATTGGTAACTTCTCACAGACATCCTAGCAAATAATTTCTGTGGAGAGAGATGGGGAAAGAGAGACAGAGCCTCCTCCAAGCTCTCTCCATATGCAGAGACACAGCTCAGAACAAGTAGAGGTATGGCTGGGAGCTTGCACCTCTCTTTTGAAACCAGCCCAGCATCACTTCTTCCCATCATGAGAGACCCAGAAAACACTGCAATCTGGATTGTCAACCAAAGAGCAGAGGAAGGAGGGGCAAAAACAAGCACAAAGATTCGGCAACAGTGAGATTACCAGCAATGCACCTTTTTTTTCCACAGGGATATCCAAAAGGGAAGTTTAATTACAGCTCCTCTGCCCTTGCTGGATGATAAGACGAAAGAAAAAAAAACAGAAACACAACAGGAAAAGCATTTTCATCATCCAGAAGGTCTTTGTTGCAATTTTTTTTTCCATCTTTGTAAAACATTACATCATAAAATAAAGACAATAGCAGCAAAACTTATCAAGATGGTACAAGCACATTCTGCTCTGTACCCTGGTAATGACATTTATGAAATTGTCCCTTTTCTGAAAATGCCTTTCTAAAGCACCATAAAATCTTACAGAGAGAGAGAAAGAGGGACAGAGACAAGAGAGTAGATACAACATCCTTGCAAGTGGATTTACTGATTGTTTATACCATAATTTGAGCAGGAAAAACAGTAGATCAGGGTCCCACTGAAATGTTTCCCCAAATTTTTAAGAAAGTTCTTTTTCAAATGCAAGGCTGGAAATGACTAATAATGGTTTCTCAGCCCTGTCCAAAAGGTCCAGATCAAATTCATTATAACTTTGGAAAAAAAATCAGTCTAAAACTATATTGAAACACTGGCCTGAATAAATTTAAATGGCTGGGAAGCTGTGATCCAGATACAAACCCTGCCATTTTCTAATTATAGCTACTACATGACTCCAGGATGTGAGAAACTGCTAAATGGTAGGCTGAAAGCTGGTGTGTTTGCCTCACAGCTCACAATAGGCACCGTAAGCTTTCCTCTTTAAGCACCCAGCTCTCACAAGGGAAAAAGATCGTGTGGGTGGAATATATTTGGGAGCCTAAAGTATTCTCTCTCACATGCCAGATATCACCTGCCTGTGATCTGCTCTCAAGGAGTTCAGCCAAGGAGAGCAGATCCTATTTGCCTCAAAAGGCCACCTGCTAGACATACATCTGCTTTTCCCTGAAAGCACCAGCACTGGTATTTACTGGTGGTAAGACTCATCCCAGACGTGACCTGTAACCAGAGGTGAGGGAGCACAGAAGTTCACATCTACCTGCGTGGAGCGGGGAGGCACCACCACTAAATCCATGTGTGATGGTGGGCACGGTGTGTGAGGTCTTTGTATGAGACCTTTTTAGAACCGCTTCCTGAGAACTCACCAGTGCTGTGGGTAAGACCAGCCTTTAGGGTGACCTCAGCCCAGCTCACAGAGCATGCGCTGGCTACGTCAGGACACCTCCCAAATAAGCTTTCACAAGTGCTTCCTCAGTGTGTGATTTCCCCAGCACGAGTCAATAGAGTCTAACATCATTATGTACTTGAGTTGCACTGGCAGGAAGAAAAAATAGAGGGTCCAGCTCAGCAATGGTATTAAGGAGAGTAACTCCTACTAGTAGTAAAGAAGATGGGGACCTCGGGAAAAATTAGGCAATCTAAAGGTATTTTCAGATCTGCATTTTTTTCACGGATATATTTCAGGCAACTGGTTTCATACATTAAACTATAAGCTTTTATTTGAGTTTCATAGATTTGTGTTAGTATGTTTTGTGTTTTCATTGAAATTTAATTGCCTAAGGAACTGTTTCTGAATCTGGGCATATTTGTATTTAGTAAGTGTAAATGGCACTGCCATTAAAGCAGCAGGTCTTTGCTCTACAAAGCTTAAAAATAACAAGCTAGTTCCACTTTACTGCACTGACTTGATGGGGACAGATTTTGGCCTTAGATTAGACAAAGCATAGTTCAGAACAAATATATGTACAGGAAGGACTGAAGCAGTTCCCAGTCACCTTTCAAATTCATGTTTAGTAGAAGACTTCTTGTTCTAGGTTAGTACTCAACATAACATAAAGCTTGGTCTTTGCCTGGTATTTATTTTTAGAGGATGATGGGAAAAGTGAGACTAGCAGACATCATGCAACCTGACAACACAAATAAGCCCCTGAGAAAACCAAAGCTGGCAAACAAACAGCCATGTACAGCATAAACACAAATTCTTCAGGAAAACACAGGTTTTATAAGGACGGGGTTTTTAACACCCTGAACTCACAGACATACTTTCATTTATTGTGGGTTTGAGAATTTTGCAGAAAGTCTCTGGCGTAGCCCATTAATGGCTTTGGAAGAAGCACACTTGTACTAGAGACATCATTAAGCCAGACAGCAGGAGCTCAGATGATTTATAACTTCACAGCAACAACCAAAATCAGATTTCATAAATGTAAATCACTGGTTTTAATTACTATTATTTCTAATAACTGTTATTAGAAATAATATTCCCTATTAAAGGATAATGAAATTCACAGACTGTCACATGGATGAAGTTACAAATCTTTTCAAAAACACTCATGCAAAATCTGCACAAGTTCAGTGATGGTTAATGTTTCAGGAGGATCCCCAATAGAGCATGCCAGAATTCTCCTGCACAAGGTACTAGAAAGTGGGACTGCAGAGCTGAAAGCTGTAGGAAAACAGAAGCTGAGTTGTCCTCTATGTGTGAGGGCTGCGGCTACAGAAAATCCATGTTTCCTTTGTTCTTTCAGGTCCCAATTCCCATGTCAAGCCATGTTGTGCTCAGGGCAGGATCTGAGATTCAAAGTCAGTAAGTCACCCTTGTGTTTGACTTTTTATTTTCAGGCTGCTGTGAAAGGGTATAATTTAGAGCACGGAGTTTTGGATATGGTTCAGACTACCTTTTGCTAAAACTTTCAATAATGGTGGAACAACCTCACTAGAAATCACATCCTAAGTTTTTTATAATTATTATCAAATGCCAAAGGATGAGAATTTTAGCCATAAAAACAGTTGATGTTTGAACTGAGATTCTCTCCCAAGCTGTTGCATACAACTAAAACCAAGGGATGGCCTTTACAAGGGGAGAAGCAATTTATGACATTAAAATGTCATTTTAGTTGTCAGACATTTCTCTCTGCCTCTGCTATGCAATACACCATTTGCACTTTCCATATTATAATAAAAAGTATATATTGAGGTATTTAATAAGCAATCATATAGGAGGAAATATTTACTCCAGTAGCAGACTGGCAGCTTCCTCAGCAAGTTTCACAAACACAGAAAAGGAGAGCAATGAAAGAGAGTGTTTTGCCTTCATGTAAAAGGCCATCAAATGCTCTATTCAGTATCTCACTGGGAGTTTATTCAGCATCACCTTTTGTCCCTCAATCCATCATATCCCAAAATAAGAGTTGCTGAAGATACAGCTGATAAAAAGTCAGCCAGAGATTCAGGCATGGTGTGGCCAGGCAGAAACTACAATGAGACACACACTCCATCAGCTAGAATCTGGACAAGGGACAGACTGAAAACTCAGGAAGTTTAGAGATTAAAAACATGCCAATATTTCATTACCCTTCTATCCCATCAGAGCAAACAGTTTTGAATTTGGCCACTGAACTTTGCCTCCTCAGTTGCTTTGTCCAGATTGACCTGTTTTCCATGATTTGCCCAACGCCCAACTCCCTGCTCACACAGACAAGTCCCACAAGACAGACTCCTAGTTTCCCTGACCCTCTGGCTATGACTAAGCCATTTACTCCACACAGAGGAAATGCATCTCCCATATCCTTACAGCTGCCTGTGCAGGACTTTTTGCCATTACAGGCAATCATTTCTTGCGAGAACTTAGTTGAGAATAACTAACACTGCTTGCATGATGTTGGTTTTAGCATTTGGTAACCAAAGAGAATTAATTGTTAGCACAGCCTGTATGCATTGCATGCTTTCTGAGTCAGACGAGATGCTTTTGTGAGCCTGATCCTTCATACCAGCAAAGCGCAGGATGGTGTAACCAGGACCCAAATCGCATGTCTGAGCATTTCTGAACCTTTTCCAGAATTCAAATGCAAATCCTAAATTGTAGCTTTCACTCCTAACTTCCCACCAGGCCACAGGAAAACCCCAGATCTGAACAGCATAAAAGCTTAGCACATCCAGGTATGCTTCATCCATCATGGAACTACAGAATTAGCAGGACATGATTCTGAGTGAGACTTCAGAAGATTTGCTCACGTGTGGCACCCAAGGCTGAACTTCATCCCAAGCCTGCCCAAAACCAGGAGGAACAGGAGGGCTGAATGCCTGTGATGCCTGACCAGACCTACATCTTGCTGGTATCTGCCTGTGGCTCGAGGAGAACAGGACCTAAGGATGGCCACAAGCAGCCATCTGCATCACTGTGAAGCTGAGCACAGGGCTGTGTGGCACAGAAGCCTCCAGAAGCCACAGCAGCTCTTGAGGCAGATGAAACTTTCCCCAGGGACTGGGCTGACTGCCCTGCCTCAAGCCAGAGCACAGCCCCACACCTGAAGAGATTCACTGGGGAACTAAGCAGAATCCAATTTCTGTTGGATCTTACTGAGTTAAAGCAATCCCAAATGACCTGACATTTTTCAAACATTGTTTTTTCATCCCTAATTTTCAAGCAGATAATGAAATGAGGGAGGTGATACGGTATTTCAAGTGAAGCAAACCAGCAGACAGAGCATACTAAGAACTCTCCTCCTCTGCACCAGTGGAATTTGGCTCATTCCTGCAAATCGTGCAGACTCAATTAGATATGCAGATATGCAGACTCAAAATTTGCATTGGCATGCTTCTAGTCATAGCCATGGCAATTGTGTATTCTGGTGACCAGTTAGATTTTGAGTTGGCTCATTGCACATAAGATCTCAGAACCTATCACAGAAAACGAAGCGTGCGTTTTGGTGTGTGCAGACATGGGCGTGCAAAGCCCAAAGCCTGTGTCTGTCTGACCTGCGAGTGTCTGTATGTCTGACCAGCTTGTAAGACTTAGTACGTCTCTGTCATCTACATCCATGCTTAATTTACCTAGAAGCCTACAGTTTGAATTGCAGGGATATTTAGGGGTTTGTGAAGGCGCAGGGGAAGCATCGCTGGTGCAATCGCCTCTCATTTCCAGCATGCAAATTCTATCTGCAATGGCAAACACAGTAGCCCACAGGCTGAGGCTACAAAATTTTAGTCTGTTTTGCAATTCCCATTAATTATTTTGCAGCCTTTTCTTTGAATAATTACTGTGAAGTCTAGGGACATTTGTATTTCTTATATCCATATGTCCAGACACCACAAAAGAGTTTTAAAAAACGTCAACAGTTTGGTTACATTTCCCTTTAGTCTAGAAACGCAGAGAGCTCATGTTAAGATTTTATCAAGAAAAGAGATAGCAAATGAAACAAAGGTAGTACCTAAAAGGAAATAAAACAGTAATTCAAAATACTTGTTTAAAAAGTTACAAAATATGACAGCATTAATGGCACTTAAAGCTATAAGCACTTAAAAAATTACCACCATAATTTTCTCAACTTCTTTTTCCAAAATTTCTTTTTTCTTTTTCTTTTCTTTTTTCAGAGATTATGACTGCAGCTTATGTCTAAACCCAAACCCAGCAACAGGGGGCTGAGAGCCCTGAGATTCTATGGTTGCCCTGGCTCTCATTTGAATAGCGTATATGCTCTTATGTCTATTTTTAAAAATTCAGATTCAGCTACAGAGAACAGCAGTTTGCTGACATGCAAAAGCTAGAGCTTTCCTTCTGTCTTCATAGTCTTACAGCATTAAAGTTGAAGGGTTTTTTTCCAGTGGTAGAAAGTGTGGATGAGAAATTCTTTTAAAAAAAAAACAGTTGACCCACTGTTTTATACACCTAGCCCAATATCATTAAATTAATGTTTCTCTTCCGCGAAACAACATAGCACAAGATGCTGTATTTTCTTCATATGCACTTTCTTGCTGTGACTTTACATTGAATATTTCCTACACGAGAAAAAAAATCCATTTGTTTCTTTTCCTTCTTTTTGTCACTGGTTAAGATAAATACCCACAGAGGTTTTTTTGTTGTTTTTGTTTTTTTAATGAAAAGAGCAATCCGACCCTTAAATATGTCTGTGTTGATTTTTCAAACCAGCACCCAGCTGGTGGCTGTGTCTATGGACATTCTTCTGGAGTTTAGAAAGATAATGCATCTGATTCAAAAATGGAAAAAAAAAAAAATCTAGCTTGGATCACGTGCCAAAACGTAAACTAAGCTTTACTGAAAGTTTCTAGTTCACTCCAATCATTTCTCCTCTTTTTAATCACCAGGGGAAGGCTTTATGGATGCGTACTCCATTACAAAGACAAGCTCTTTTCCATCCCTTTGAAAGGCTCTTCTTACATAGCTGCCCTTTGTCTACCATTAAGCCATGGTAGGAGCACTCTGGTGATATTGCCAGGCTGCAATCTCTTCCTTTGTGTCTCGCCCTGGTAATCTTAGACAGGCTGAAATTTCCATGTGCGTAGCTTTCTGTTGCCATTCTGCGGTGCTGTGTTCCTGATTTGTTTTGGCAGAGCAAGCTCGAGTCTTTATGGCACAGTGAAATATTCTTCGATGCTATATAATTCAGACTGAATAAGGAGTCTGTATAAGGCACGTGTCTCAATATATATATGTATATAAAAACACTAACATTGTTAATTCAAGTCAAGCATCTTTTACATTTAACTTCTGTCTTCAAGTAACGCATTGTTTTCATGTTCCCTTTCTTTGGTTTCATTGGGGATCACTCCATTCTCCAGGTCTGAGTGCTGCTGGATGCAGTTGGTCAGGACTGCAGTGCTAGAAGAGTTCTCAGAGTTACACATCTTCTCCGTCTCCTCTTCCTTTTTTTCTTCATCCAAGGAGTAGTTTCGGAAGGTCTCGTAAATTTTACGCACATCCTCAGGGATGGTCTTTTTGAGGTCTTTGTTTTTCCTTTTGGTCATCTTAGCAGACGATCCAAACTTGTTAATGATGTTGTCCTCGGATGCCCCCTGCCCGTGCTTGTTGAGCTGATCTGACCCTTTAAGGCGCAGGTTGTTAGGCCTGTTGTTGATGCTTTCCTGAGATGAGGCCTTGAAGCGTCCTGTTTCCAAGGCAGTAAAGACGGAGCGCTTCTCTGGAGAGAGCATGTCCAAGGAGTGGGCTCGCTGGTCCAGGCCCAGGCGCCTGCGCTCCATGCTCCGGATGGTGGCCGCCCGTTGAAGTTTGTCATGGATCTCCACGCTGAGCCGCCTCCGTGTCTCTCTGAACTCAGCCGTCACGTTGGCTTTCCACTCTGCTGCGTGGGCTTTTATTTCTCCAACCTTTACGACAATGAGAAAGAGAAATGAATAATAATAACAATAAAAAGAAACAGCCAAATGAAGCCATAGTCTTTCCTACAGAGCAGCAGCACAAACACTTTCTTCTCCGGCATAAAATTGAAGACTGGTCTCAGCTCCAATGTATACACCTGGACTCAAAACTTCAGCAAAGTGTTTATGCTGGGCAAGCTCTAAACACACAAAGTAGTGACTAGCTAATGCCTGATGTGGCATAGAACTTGTCTGCCTGGTCCACATTTTGCCACACATTTTATAGCTGTGTTGCGTGATGGAAGGTGTTAATGCTAATCCCTCCTTGGTTAAGAACAAAACTTCTGACTTATAATATCAGTGGTAGAGGGTCAGGAGTGAGCAAAATTAAACACATCCAGTTATACCAATATGCTCCAGAGAACCAGTGTAGCAATGCAGTAAGATATTTTCCCATATTATAGAATCATAGAATGGTTTAGGTTGGAAGGGACCTTAAAGATCATCTTTTTCCAACCCCCCTGCCCATGGGCAGAGACACATCCCACAAGACCAGGTTGCTCAAAGCCCCATCCAACCTGCCCTTGACCACGTCCAGAAATGGGACATCCACAAGTTCTCTGGGCAACCTGTTCCAGTGTCTCACCACGCTTATAGTGAAACATTTCTTCCTAGTATCTACTCTAAATCTACCCTCTTTCAATTTGAAGCCATTACCCCTCATCCTATCACTACCTGCCTTTGTAAAAAATGTCTCTTCAGCTCTCCTGTAGCTCCCTTCAGATACTAGAAAGCTGCTATAAGGTCTCCTCAGAGCCTCCTCTTCTTTAGGCTGAAAAACCCCAACTCTCTCAGCCTGTCTTCATAGGAGAGGTGCTCCACCTCTCTTATCATCTTCATGGCCCTCCTCTGGACTCGCTCCAACAGGTCCATGCCCTTCTTGTGTTGAGAACTCTAAAGCTGGACTCAGTACTCCAGGTGCGGTCTCACCAGAGTGGAGTAGAGGGGCAGACTGACCTCCCTCAACCTCCTGGCAATGCTTCTTTTGATGCAGCACAGGATACGGTTCTGGGCTGCAAGCCCACATTGTTGGGTCATGTTGCTCATCCACCAACACCCCCAAGTCCTTCTCCTTAGGGCTGCTCTCAATTCACTCTCCACCTAGCCTGTATTTGTGCTTGGGATTGTATTTGTAAGGTCCAGGTGCAGGACCTTACACGTGGCCTGGTTGAACTTCATAAAGTTGGCACAGGCTAATCTCTCAAGCCTGTCCAGGTCCCTCTGGATGGCATTCCATCCTTCCAGTGTGTCAACCGCTCCACACAGCTTAGTGTCATCAGCAAATTTGCTGAGGGTGCACTCTATCCCACTGTCCATGTCAACAACAAAGATGTTAAGCAGCACCAGAGTCAGTACTGACCCCTCTCTTGCTCATGGATGGAGCTGTGCAGTCCCACTGAAGGTTCTGTTCAGTACCACAGAGCTACAGAATAATCAATGCTGGAAATACCCATTAGATAATTTCAGGTGGACCTCTGATTGATCCAGTCTAGGCTTCATTCTCAGGGACAAATGCAGCTGTCTCTAATGGAGGCTTCCATTACATAACTGTCCAAGTACCACCCTGTCAAGCCAGCTGGAGGAGTTTTCAACACATATGCTGTGTGGGAACGATGAGCATGTCCTTAAACGTCCCACTGCTTTCCTCTCTTTCACTCCTTTGCACCTGAGAGCAGAATAATGGCTAAAAATAAAGCACCTACATAGCTGTTGTATTGAATAAATGTTTATTCTGAAAAGAGAAAAAAGAAGATGAATGACCAAGCAATATCTTGGTCAACACAGGCCTTTTCCAAAATTCAGATAAAGGAGAACATATTCAGGAGTACAATGTCTGCAGAAGCCCACTAAGATCAATGGTTTGCTTGGACTGCTGTAGTCAGAACTCAGTTTCTGCTTTCAGTAGTCCACAAGGCAGTCATCTTTAGTTCCTGCCAGATGAGCAGGTGTCCATTTAGAACTGTATTACTTGTGGCAGCCAGGCATCTCACCTCTACCACGAGAGATCAGATTCCTACCTTTAAGTGCCTGCTGAGGATCAACCTGACAGCCAAACTCTCTGTGAAGCCCCCCTTGGAGATGCACAGGGGATGCACTGGGCCACAGGTAGCGCAGATGCCTTCATAAATGATAAACAGCACTACCCCTCTGCCAAACTTTGTCTATGCCTGCTCTTTGACTAACTCTGCCACGTTAGCTTTGCTAGTAATGCAGGGCGAGATTGTCTAACAAATTGGAATTATATTATTAACATCCTCCACAATGGGCTTCAGTTCTAGAGTCATGGCTACTGCCTTCTATTTTCCACCCTTATTTGAGTGAAGCGTTAGCGGTACTGTCTTTGAAACACAAGGAGCATATTCCGAGTGAATTTAATCATGTTCTCCCTGATGCTGACTACTCAGTTTCTTCAATTTTTAATAATATGACACTCAGTAAGGAGCCTGAATCTAAACCTTTATTCGGAACCATAATCCCCGGCATATGGAAAGGTGGGAAAAGTCAATATAACACCCTGGTTTAAAGGCAGATTCTTGTTTCATAATGAAGAGAGCCATCTCATGTCTTCAAAACCCATGCATCTCCAATTTTTAAAGAGACAACACTAAAATTTTTATCACAATTTTGTACCTAGTTTCAGAGTGAAGGCTGGCCTCTCTTACTCCATAATTGCAATCCTACTGATGTGTTCTCTGTACTCGGTAGTACTAATGGAGGTGTAACAACCTAGGTTGCTTCAGTTGCTCTCTTTGCTCCCTTTGTGAAGGAGCTAAAGATCAGAGGTAACTGGATACGAAAGGCACCCAGTGGAGTAAACCAGGGGGAATACTGAGCATTGGTCATGCAGAGGAGCATCCTTCTTTTGACACAAAGGAATCAGGCGCTTAAAGCTCTCTTATAAAATGACAAACCACTGAGAAATTACTAGTCATACCTCTTCTTTTGTCTTCTTGGACAGGACTCTTAACCAGTCGCCAATCATACTCAGGACAGCGGCAAAATAGGCAAGGCCAACAAGGATCCAGAACCACACTAAGGGTTTGTACCACTCCCGGTAATGGATGTCAGCGTTTCCCCCTGAAATAAGCAAATACTTGTGCTTAGGAATCATGAGATGCCAAAGTTGTGACAAAATAGCTGCAATTCTGAGAAATTCCTGAAAGGGTTTCTTTACTCTTGCCAACACCACTGTAGTTCTAATTATAGACGAGAGGCACACGTCAGTTGGGAGGAACACAGTCTGTTCTTAATTTAAGACTCTTCAAAATTACCTATTGTTCTGCTGCTATGTGACCTGCCAGAGTAGCTAGTAAACACTTTTCTTTATATTGCTCATACTCTGAAGCAAGTCTGAAATTACTGCTTTGATAGTACTCACAACAGCATGAACACATTTCCAAGAAAAAAAGTTTAATACAGCTAGTCTTCCTTATTCTGAACTGCCTGCAGTCTGGTGAACTTACAGTTCAACCCCCTCAGGTTATAGAGTTTCCAGATTTTTTTTGGCTTTAGCTACAGGATTGAGAGACCTATGCACAGGTGAAAGAGAAGTAGCTCTGTCTTCCTCTCCAAATCAGGACATCTGACAGGAAGCCAACTGTGCATCAGCCCTGATAATAAGGATATGCTGTCTGCTTGGGGATCAGTTACAGTGGTGCATTCTCTGGCCAGTGACTTAAGAGGAGATATGGATCAAATGAAGCAACAAATATCTATATGATCTTCATGCAAGTCTCAGGATGAGCTGGTAAAACAAGAATGTGAGATATTTGGCAAATCTAATGGATTACAAAGACCATAAAATAAGTGCCGTAGCAGCCAGGCTGCTGCCTACAACAGAACAGAATAAACTTTTCCAAAGGAAAGCAACCACAATCTCACTTTTGAGACTCCCAGTCCTATCACAGCCCTACGTGTGCTGCAAGGATGACAGCCAGCGAGAGGCAGGCACAGCCCTGAGCCGAGGAGAGTGAGCAGCAGGGAATCTGCACAGCCCCATGGGCACAGCCATATCCCTGAATGCAGGAGAGCAAACATCACCTTGGTGGTTCCTGTGTAAATCTCTGCCTGAAGAGCAAGCCTACCAGGGGACTTGGGCAGAGGATTGTGTATTTCCTGGACTCTAGCCTCGGTTAGACAAGAGATAGACACCAATCTGTATCTCTGTATGACTACAGAGAGATTTTGGGATTTTTCCCCATTAAAATCACCAGAGAACACAGTTCAGTATCCCCCCTGAGCTTTTTGTAGTCTGAGACATTCCTACGACTCTTTCATTTTGTTCAGACTCAGTATGAGTATGGTGCTAGAACATCTCCATGGAAGGCCAGACATTTGAGAATTGGCAGGGACCCAAATATTAGTTTTGATGTTAATCCTTCCCCACAGACCACAAGAATCACTCTCTTTTTCCCAGTCTTTAAGAGTGTGAAACAATGGGAGGTGGGGACTGCTGTTGCTATGGTACAATGAGGCTCTTCTGATCATACATGTCCCTGAGGAAGCTTGCTATGAAACAGATTGTCTAGGTCTATCTTACAGAGTAATCAGGCAACTGAAAAAGTATGAGACCACTTTCTTCAGCTTATCAGATCACAGAATCACAAGATATTCTGTTTTCCCAGGCTCCATCCACAATTGTTTCTCCAACAGTAGCACAAAAATTCCCAAACACATTCTAGGTGGAATAAATCAGCACAGCTCCATTGATGCTGTTTTACCAATATGATGTCTTATTTTTTATTTGATGTTGAAGGGACACAGAGAGACACAGAGATTAAGGTGACAGAAAATAAAAGTGACAGAAAATCTGTTTCAAAACTAGCAATAAACTCCAAATATCCTGGTGATCACCTGCCTTAAACTCTTATTGTGAGATCACCTCTGAAGTTCTCTCATTCATGGTCCTCCATTTGATTTTTGAAAAATCCTGGTTGTTAGTAGCCACCCAGCTGTGAGTTATATTCTTCTAATTATGTTGGATATAGAAAAATTAAATTTAATAATCAGAGCTTTGTTACTATTATGTTATTAAAGAAAACAATACCGAAGTGTGATATGCTTAAGAAAAATATTGTGAATTATTTTTATTTCACACTGTGATACCACAAAGACAAAATATCAGTGAGCAGTGAGCTTCTCTTCATATTTAAGTGGTTAAAATGGACCAGGCTCACACAATCCCTTTTCTATCTGAATGCTCGTAAAACACTTCTTTTTCATATCTGGAGCTCTCTTTGTTCAGTGCCTTTTTTTTCCTCAATAATTCATATCTTCTATACCACTATGTCATAAAAAAGGAGGATTAGAGTCTTCTCTACAAAAAGACTTGTCTGCAGCTCTTCCTTCAGCAAAGAAAAAATTGCATATCCCTGTAGCTTCATTTGATGTTTTTAACTCAATTCATATTTCACTGATTTATAGGAAGTAACAAAACAGTGCCATAATATGTCTGTTTGTAATGCAGGCATCTTAATGCTGTTAACTAAGACCACTAACAGGCAGGAGGAGTAGAGGTCATGCACTAATGGAGGGGAAAAAATCCACTTATTTTAACCACCTTTTCGTTAGCAAAGCAGTTGTGTGAAGAAAAAAAAAATCTCATCTCTCCAGCCAACGATCTTGACTCCTTCTTTGGAAGTTGATAAGGATGGATATTTATAGTTCCCACTACCACTGTATTAATCTTGGAGAGTATCCTCTGGGTGCTGAGATGCATATCCCATTAGTCCTTCTCTTCCTACATGAGATTTCCTTAACAGGCCAACTGCAATGGCAAAATTTCTGCCAAGGTTAGAGAGAAAAACACAGTTTCTGAAATCACAGAATCTTAGTGGTTGGAAGGGACCTCCGAGATCATCGAGTCCAACCACAAAAAAAAACAAAAACAAAACCAACAACCGAAAAAAAAAACCAAAAAACACAAACAAACAAAAAACAAACAAACAAAAAAACCACCACAACCACCACAAGAACACATACTGTTGCATCCAACCAGAGATTTCTGCAGCCCTATGGCTCAGCCCTACTTTGTAAAAGCTTAACCCATTCACCATTTTGGCTTCTTGCTTCTGCAGTCAGCCTCAGACTGAGACGTAACACAAATCTTGGATTCAATGAGGAAGTCATTTGACTTGTGCATAATTCATTGCATGCTAAAGGATAATCAGGACTTCGCAGACCCCTGTTATCTACCCTGCTGAATGCCTGCAACCTGCAGTTGGCAAAGCACCTGGACCGTAAATCAACCCAGTGTCCTGTTGCACAGTAACCCCAACAGAAACACCTGGCATCATTTCACTGGAATGTAACACATTGTGGAAAGCCTCCTCTCTACACCAGAAAACAAATTCTAAGAGCCAAGGTCCTCATGCCCAGCACCTCGGCTCAAAGCTGCTCACCTGCTACAAAGTCACCGAAGCCAACAGTGGTCAGAGTGACAACCACAAAGTAGATTGACTCCAAGGCTGTCCATCCCTCGATGTGTTTGAAGATAACTGCAGGAATGGTCACAAAGACAATGCAGCCTGCCAGGATGAAGAGGATGGTAGAAATCACCCGGATCTTTGTTTGACTCACTTGCTTTTTCTAGAAAAAGGAAATAACAAAAGAAAAAAAAAAAAAGGATTTTTGAGTGGATTTCTGGGACTGCATACCTTGTGAATGGCAGACCGATCCTCCTGGTGTCACCTGGTATGTCTCTTTCTGCCTTTTGTGAGCTAATTAGGTGGAATACAACCCGCCCTCCCCATTAGTAAGAGCCCTACCTGGGTAATAGTGAACCTCTTTGGCCCCAGAAAATGGTGATTCCCATTTCCCAGGTACAAACCTACCAGAAACACAGCCTGGAAAAACAGTCCTGCGTTTCAAAAAGGCTTCGGTCCACTCCAAATCAGGTTCAATGTGTAAGAAAAAGTGACATTCACACCTCCATACATGTATACGTACACCCACATTGCCTCTCCAGCACCAAGCAATTCAACAAGCAAGACCAAGACAAAAATAAAAATAAAGCCTTTTTTCCTCTAAAAACCTGAGGTTTTATGTAGAAATAATTCATGCTTTGGGTTTTCTAGACTCAAGATTTCCAGCTTTCATTCACAAATGCAAAGGTTAAATCTCCTTTTCAAAAACAGATAGATATGTTATCAGTTTACTCCAGAAATAAAGGATTTATGTCAAATACCAAACACCCAGAGATAAAATTACCTACATAAATCCACACTGAAAAGCTCTTGAACAAAGAGTATGTGTGTTACTGGCTGCTATAAACAGAATACAAATATGAGCAGTGTAATTGCAACATTTTATACTCCAAGTGCACGTAAACTCTAAATTTATTTAATTTAAACTTAAGAGTTTGTTTCCAGTAATATTGATGTGGGCCTGGATTAACACAACTGACTCTGGTAGACTTATTTCAGATTTTCTCTGCTGTAAATAAACTCAAAATTCAATAGAGTTTACCAAGAAACCTGGAAATTACTAGAAATCTTACCGCGGATTAATTACAGTGGCAGTGTAAATTCTGTATTTATCCTGAAATAGAAACGTGGACACCACCGGAAGTCACATTTCCAAATTAGTTTTCCAAATCAAGCATCTCCCTTAACCCAGAAATGAGATCTCATTTCAGATTAGGACGCTGTCTAGACAGGAAATAAGGTCTCAGAAGTTATCTTTGTAACACACAGAAGGAATATTGCCTGAACTGGTTAATATCTGGCCAGCTTGTGAGCAGCACGACTGCTTCCACTGAAGCACGAGCATTTCTTTTAGAGGTGCAATGTCAGACCCTCTGATTGGGGATGCTCTGCATTTAGAACCCAGGCAGCAGCATAAATACACCATGTTTCATAAATACTTCTAGCTCTGAAACTGTTTGAAATGATCCCGACACTGAATTTTTTTCTTTTTTGTGTGTGTGCCTTGTTTTCTGTCTTGTTCTTTTTCATTGTCTGGCTGAACAGAAGTAGCTAAATAGGATTAGTAATATAATGCCATAAATAAGATTAATCAAATACAAGACATGGAAAAAACTGCCACTGAAGTACCAAGGAGAAAAAAACCACAAGAATATAAAACCTGCCTTGACTTCTTATTTCCTCTTTTTCTAGAGAGTCATTTTGAGCAATTTTTTAATACTAGAGGATGCTATAGCTCCCTGAGGAGGTATGGACACACAGTTTACAATGGCAGGATTTCAGACTTACTGTACATGTGGTGAAGGGAAAGCAACTGATCACATGGATGTTTCATGGTGTCTTAGATTGGCACACTTGCTTTTTATCATGGAGGATGAGGATTGAACCACGTTGCTGTTTATTTACTAGTTTGGCCAAGGTGACCCGTTCACTTGTACTAAATGCTTCAGTTTCCTGATATACAAAAATGAAATAGCAGACACTTTGCTGCAGTGGAAGTTAGGAGACACCAGCAGTGCTGTGTAGTCCTGGGAATCCTTGGACAAAAAGTGCTTTGGAGGTGGCAAAAGAAAGCTACGTGTAGTAATCCTTCCTCCAGTCCCCACATCAAAATGCATTTTGATGTTGCGATATGTCAGGATTGTCTTGTCCCACAGTAGGAACAGGAGTGGGAAGAATAGCCTGGAAAGCAGTGCCACGTTCAGGGCATCCACTTGTTCATGAGGCACAAATTCAGCCAAAGGCTGTTGGGTTTTTTCGAGTAAAAATGGTAACGATGTTAATGAGAGGAGCTGCAGAAAGGCCTGACTCATAGCTGGGCACCTCAGTCACTCGCACAAAAGAGCAGCAGCTGAGGGGCTATTTTTTCTTACTCTTCCACCAGAACAAATGAAGTCAGAGAGCAATGGTGAATCAGGCACAGCATTTTTAGAGCTACTGAAAAGATCATATAAGCAAGACTTAGAAATAGAATCACTTAACAGACAATAACACAAGAAATTCAGGATAGAAGTGAAAAGGGGGGTCCTTTTACAGTTAGACATGCATTCAGGGGACATTCGCAGCAGAGTGTAACTTCTATAGATCCACAAAATGCTCAGGCATAAATGTCATCCTTTATGGAATATGTACATTGTAGTAATCACAGATTACAAAAGGTTGGTTTGCATGGGGATTTTTGCAGATGGAGTTGGCCTTGCTATTTTACTACAAAGAACATCCTTTTGTGCTGCCCAGGTTCTCAGGAAAAAGGAAACGCAGCCTTTTCTTCCCAGTTTTCACACAATTGTATCAAGACAAGACTAGAGGATCCTAAGCCACTGCAGTATTCCACTGTACCAAGTCAGCATTAAAAGAAATAAATATACATATAACACTATACATAAATAACACTAAAGGTTGAGAAATCTGAAAAGGTTCATATAAACTTCCTTTTAAATAGTATTTACAATCTGGAGCCAAACACTGGCAAATAGCTGAGCAACTCCAGCCAGGCTAACACATCCTATGAGCCTATTTTGGGGCAGAAATACAGAATTCTCTATAGACACCAAAATGAAACAGTAAGAGAGGCCGTTCTCCACAAAAAGTAGTTAATCTCATAGTGGTTGAAGTAAAATGAAAACACTTTTAAAATAGATGTTTTCTACTTCTGTTTTGTTTTACCAATAAGTTCTCTCCACACTGATGAAGCAGGTAATTTGTCAGACATTCACAAATATAAAAAAATTAGTGCCTGCTAATGACAGAGACTTCAATTTAAATATACCTAGAGCTAATCTGGAAAAGATCAAAGGAGGAATCTAAGAAGAAAAGAATGGTGTTTTCTGAGATATAACCACCTATGAGGGGTCATTTCCATTTACTAATCAAGGCACTGATTTTACTCTTAAGGTGATTAAGTGCTAAACAGGCAACATCACTGATATCATCTTGCTCATACTAATTCAAAAAACCTACTGTCAACCTGCTCTAGTGCCAAGAGGGTGAGGACAGACATTCTCATGAAAACAGCCTTATCAGCGGAATTTAGTCCTTATGCACGTTTTCCACTAATTGTGACCTCGTTTTTTCCTTATTCTCTGTTACATACATGGGGAGTCTTATTGGCTTTGGTCTTATTCAATAATTTCAGGAGTTAAAAGAAATCCCTTTAAAAGAACTGCATTTTTTTACGGCTTGTGCCCTTTTCAGGTGAATTAACTCAGGCACAATTTTTCTGACCTGATTGTTGACAACAAAAGGACCAAACAAGGTTCTTAAGTTCCCAAGCTGAGACCACAGGGATGATACATATTCCTTCAAAAAGGGAGTAGGAGAGATTCAGTATGGGATCAAAAGATGCTACAGCCATTTATCAGACTAGACTAACTGCTAAATATACATATATATTTCCAAGAACAGCGTATTTCAAATACGCTTATTCCGAGATTTTTGTAGTGTCACCTCCCATATCACAGAAACTCCTCAACCAAAATAGTACTGGAACATTTGCAGCTTCACAGTGAGCTCAGATGGTTCCTCCGTCTTCCAAATTTTTTCTTTTCTGAATTCCTGACAAATATCCCCAAGACTCCAAGCAAGTTGTTTACCTTTTTGGCTAGATGACCAATGTCACATTTTTAGTGCTAGTATAATGTGCCTGCATGGAACATACTGTCCTCATCTCACCACAATGCTCCGAATTTTGGAGCACTTCTCCAAAGAAAACACATTTTTTTAACATTTCTTTTGTCTTCACCTACACTTAACTTTATGCCCTCTCCCATGGTGCCAACTGTTCTTGGAACAGATTGTCTCTGCCCATGCACTAATTAAACAGCTTGTCTTCTAAATCAATTTCTCCAGATCAAAATATTTTAACAAGATAAAAGCCAGTCTTTGTACTCAAAGCATAAAACAGAGTATCGCATATATCAGTTCTATTTTTGCCTCTGCCACAAACATTAGGTATGTCCTTAGTCAAAACATTTTCACTAGGCTGGTGTAGACAGTGCAGGTAGCCACAGGTTCACACTGCCTGCCTTTCACCTCTGCCAAAGGCAAGTCAGCCCTGGTTCAGAGCCTGGCACATACCTCAGTAAAGTGTGATGCCCATCTCAACAGGCTGTACAGAAAGACTGGCACGGCACTGGGCTCGCAGAGCTCCTTGGTGATCAGCAGTATGGGCACGTCAACCCCACTGCTGCCTATACCTGTCACTGCGGATTTCTTTCTGACTTGTCCTGGCTCCTCCACATTCAAAATGAGACTGAAACTAAATGTATTTTAAATATCATAGAATCATAGAATGGTTTGGGTTGGAAGAGACCTTAAAGATCATCCAGTTCCAACCCCCCTGGCCTGGTCAGGGACACCTCCCACCAGACCAGGTTGCTCAAAGCCCCATCCAGCCTGGCCTTGAACCCCTCCAGGGATGGGGCAGCCACAGCTTCTCTGGGCAACCCCTTCCAGTGTCTCACCACCCTCACAGGAAAGAATTTCTTCCTAATATCTAACCTAAATCTCCTCTATTTCAGTATAAAACCATTACCCCTCATCCTATTGCTACCCTCCCTTATAAAGAGTCTCTCCTCATCTCTCCTATAGCCCCCTTCAGGTACTGAGAGGCTGCTATAAGGTCTCCCTGAAGCCTTCTCTTCTCCAGGCTGAGAGAAGAGAATC